CCTGCTGAAGACCTAAGGCTTAAACAATACTAGTAGTTTTCATTTCACAACAGCATCTTTCTCTCATGCCAGTAGTACTGCCTAACAAGAGTGAGAAAAAGTGAATGTATTTAAGTATATATGAAAAGAATTAGTTAACAATTTGCAGGTTTTGGTACAGGTATTCAACAAAAATAAGAGGTTACACACCTGACACCTGCCTTTAAATCATAAAGGTATAGGAGTGTACTGAATAACAGAGTGTGTGTATGAAACATCCACCTCTACACTACACTGCCTATTTAAAATTACTACTGCACTTTTTGTGTATTTAGGAGCTAAAAACCCCACCCCGTTATATATGCACTGGATGCATTCATTGAGCTGATGAGATCAGAAATACTCTGAAACCACTATATCTCCCCTCTTGTCATTAGGCACAAAGGTCTTGCAGCACTTGGACTTTTGACTAAGCTGAAGTATAGTACTAAGCTGCATTACTGAGATGACTGTAGATTCCCTTTTTCCCCCCCAGTAAATCTATGCCTGACACTGAATCTAACTAAACATGTATTTTATTTGTGATTCAGTCAGAAAAGTATGGCACTGAAGTGGCCATGTAAGAATGCAGTAACACCTATAATGATAGTATCTTTAACATTAGAGACTGGGGGATTTTCTTACCTTAGCCACTTGAGTTACTGCATTAGCACCTATGGCAGCATTTGCAATATCTTCCAGTTTACTTCTCGAAATGGCAGAAATGAAGTTTAAATAATAAGATTCATAAAGCTGGTTTCGAAGATCCTAGAAGGAGAGAAAACCACAACCTTTTTCCTGAATAAGTACCAATATATTTCCGACTAATTAAAAAACATTCTTATTTTTACTATGTGATATTCCAATTATCTACAGTCAAATTAAATTTTTGTAAGTGCTTAGCTGTCTGTTCATACAGCCCTGTACACAGTGTTTTGACTACATAACTAGATATAACTAATCTAACACAGAACTGCAAAAATCAGGAAATGAAATTTAAGCTACCAGACAGCAGCTACTAGTCCACACCTTCCATCAATTCCTCCCAGAGAATGTAAAAAACTGAGGTTAGCCTAGTCCAACCCCCGCAACTCAAAGCAGAGTCAAATAGAGCAGGTGGCTCAGGATTGTGCTCAGCTGAGTTTTTAACATCTCCAAGGATGGAGACTCCCCAAAATCTCCAGGCAAGCTGTTCCAGCATTTGACCACCCTCATTAAAATAGCTTTTTCTTATGTTTAAATGGAATTGCCTATATTTCAACTTGTTCCCACTGCCTCTTGTTTTTTCACTCCCAAAACTCTCTCTCCAAAACACGGAAGACATATTTCCCCTTCTACTTTCTGGGAAAATGGAGTTGTGCATGTAAAAATTTTGGGCAATATTTCTATAACAAATATATGCTAATATATAAAAAAATGAAAGAGCGGTATTCAGACGCACACAAGAACTAGATATAGAATGGTCACACTCCAGTGAGTGCGGGATTACTTCACAACACTCTTGTTGCGTCCACTCATTTGAAACATTAAGCATGCAAGTTACCTGGCACATTCTGTCAATATTTTCTTCTGTTGGCATTACAAAGTAAACAGCTGGAACATCTGGAATAGCATCCCTATCTGAATGCAAAAGTCTGAAAGGAAGAAAAAATACATCTCTAATGTGGTCCTCTGATGATTTGTGTAAAATTGAAAAAGTTAAAGAAATTATTGATTTATACAGACACATTTAATTTCCTACAGTTTCTCCCTATATTTAGCTACATTTTACTAAAAAACCAAAAATTTTTGTAAAATTTAAAATTTTACGAAACATTAAAAAATAGAAGAATCATATTTGTATAATCTTGGGCTGAACTTATTAATAGAGGTCTCCAAAGTTTATTCAAATCTTGAGAAAAGACTCTGCAAATCTTCAAAAACAGATTAATCCATTCGGAGGAAGGTAAAATACTGTATGTACAAGGTTCATATACCAACTATTAATTGTTGACATGATAACAAAAAACCTGCATATCTCATACTATTAAACTTGCTTTTCCTGCTCATTAAAACAAAAACAGGCAAGGTGATTGCAGGTTCCTTTCACATTTCAGCTGATGTATAAACATTTTAAACCATGTTTCCATTTCTAGCCTTCACTTAGTAAAAGTTAAAGAACTTTTGAAAAAAATAAATCTATCTTTAAAGACCTTCCATGACTATTACCACAGCTAATGCACTACAATGAACTATATAAACATAATCTGGAGAGAGAGAAAAGGGAAATCTCTTAAAATAATACTTAAAGATTCACATCTTTGACAAGAGACAATTAAAATCTATATGCAAAAAGGGAAGCAGAGAATATGCACAGTCCCAGGAAACAGTTTGTGCCAAAATAATTTTAAGATATATATATGAATACAGAGGGAATTGTACAGACAGATTCCCCAAAACACCGATCAGACAATTCTTATTTTTGACCAGGGGCCTCCTCTACTTAGTGAGAAAGCCTACTGAACAGTGTTTGGAATGACCTTTTTACTCCCTGATTCTGAATAATACCACCTGATTTTAGAAACAAGTTAGGGTATAATCTTTATTTTTGGGTATAATCTTTATTTTTAGGGTATAATCTTATTATTTTTCAAATTATTTCTTATTATTTTATATTTAGGGTATAATATTATTATTTTTCAAATGATTTTGAAAATAACTTGATGAATAACCACAGTTTTGTTTATGATTTTGGGGAAATACTAAATAAAGTTATTTTTAGAAAAAAACGCTGATATTTTTTACTTACAGATGCAAAGTGATCCCCATATCTCTTAGCTCTTTCACTGACAGCAAAGGTGAGATTATATCTTGGCCAAATCTGTCATAAATGAGAACCTGAAATAGATACATATCTTTTTACAAAGTGGTGTAAAAACTGGATACAGTAGAATGCAGGTACAGTGGACACAGGACTCAGCTTTAAGGAACTACTGGCCTAACCTGAAAAGTGCTACACATTGCCCAATTTAAGATACATCATTAATTTGTCATGGACACCCATTTGTGCTTACTAATACAAAAAAAAAAAGACAAGACACTCAGTGATAAAGGGAAATAAATTCATCACTTCCATCTTCTGAAAAGCGTCAGTCAAGAAGGAATCTGCTGTCAGAAATTTGTTATTGTAAGTGCAGAATTTCTCTTACTGCATTTGGGAGGAAACAAAAGAAGCAGCAAAGAGAAAAAAAGGGAACTAGCAAAAAAATAAACAACAGGATGAAAAGACAGAATATATACTTTGTAGTAGCAAAAACTTCTCACAAATTACTTACTTTTTAAAGCTAATAAAGGTAGCTTGAGCTCAGCTTGTCCTAAATTTAAGGCTATCAACAGTTATTCCCTCTCTATGGGCTTCCTTCTGACTCTGTAAGTTCACCTGTAAAGTATCATGTAAGCTTCTGCCAACAGGTATCAATGAGACCCAAGTATATTTCAAAATGTCTTCCTCAGTTGCTCATTAAAATATTGCCTGAAGAATTAGTCATTGGGTCTTCAAGCAGCCAGTATCTCACATACATATTTTTCTCAGCGATTCTGATATTCAATTCTGTATATTCGTAATACACAGGAAAAATTATTTTGCACAAGTTAAGAACACAGCGAAGATACTCAAGTTAGTTAAAATTTGAAAATCTGAACATTTTTGAACACTATAAAATTCTCCTAGTCCTGTTCAAATAGTTCTTACCTTCCATACTGGTTCTCCTGTGCTGTTTTTAACAGGGGGAACATTGAAGTTCAGCATACGTTTCAAAGCCACTGGAAAATTAATCAGAGTGATGTTTTACTCTCTTTACGCTTCAACAATAGAGATCAAACACATTACCAGAATTTTATTGTATATTTCGAGACACCATCACTGGAAGTATTCAAAAAACATGTGGATGTGGCGCTTCGAGACATGGTTTAGGGGGCATGGTGGTGTTGGGTTAACGGTTGGACTTGATGATCTCAAAGGTCCTTTCCAACCTTAATGATTCTATGATTCTATTTGAGACGAAAACCATTATAAAATTTAAATGCAACAAGTCACATTTTCATTATATTTATGCAGCTTTGGCTGACAAGTGGCCCACATCAGCTAGCATTTATGGGCTCTGGAAGACACTGCAAAAGAAAAAGAAGCAAGTCCCAAAACATGAAGAAAGAATCTGTCTCCTTAGTTATAAAGGCTATATTCTGTCACAGTTTACCTTAAAAATAATTCCAGTATCTTCCTGAAGGTGCATTCTGTACAGTAGGAACTAGTTTGCTTTATTCCCCCAATCCTATCCCACAGGAATAACAGTATACCCAACCCAAAAATACCTTTTCACCTGACTAAAACTGATACGCATTTTGAAACATTTTGAGAACTCATAGAATTGCTGCTTTACGGGGTACAGAAATACCCCTAATTTGCAGCAGGAAAACTCTCTGAAACAGGAATGAGCTTTCATTTAGCTTCCCATTCAACACAGAAACCAAAGCAGATCCCTTCACCTACCTGTAACTTAAATAAGGAGTCCTTCCTCATTTATCTGATTAAACAATACACTATGTGCTGTTCTCCCATCTTTGACCAGAAGCAAAAGACTATTTGCATCAACATAAGTTAGGGGCTATTCTTTTCAAACTCATAAACAAAATCATCACAGAGTTTTGCAAAGAGGAAAAGCTTTCAGCAATCAGGGCAATGTTGACCAAATGTCAGATCACGTTGTTTATAAACGGAGAGTAGAAGAAATGGTTAACTTCTAACTCTTTGACTGAATGAGGCTTGTAAGCATGTTCCCCTGGGGTTTACAGTATCACAGGGCAGCTCAGGAAAGGAAAGGACCTCAGGAGATCTCCAGTCAAACCTCCTGCTCAAGCAGGGTCGGCTGTGAGGCCAGGCCAGGCTGCCCAAGGATTTATCCAGTCAAGTCTTGAAAACCTCCAGGGTTGTGGTGAAAAAGTTTTTCCTTATATCTAGTTTGAACATCTCATTTCAATTCATGCCTATTGTGCCTCACCCTCCTGCCATACACCGCCATAAACTGGCAGCCTGGCTCCACCTTCTCAGTGTCCTCCCCATAGGTATTGGGGAGCTGCTGTTAGGTCCCCCTGAAGCCACCTCTTCTCCAGGCTGAACAAGCCCCAGTCCTGCAGCCTCACCTCACAGGGCAAGTGCTCCAGCCCCTGACCATCTTGGTAGTCCTTTGCTGAACTCCCTTCAGCTGACAAACACCTTTCCTGTACTGATAGCCACAAACTGAACATGGTATCTAGGTATGGTCTCCTGGGGCTCGGGACGGGGGGATTATTCACTCCCCTTGATCTACTGGCTGTGCTCCTGTGAATATGGCTCCGGATGCTGCTATGTGGGGGGACACTGTGGGCTCACGGGCCTTTTCGGCAGAGCTGCTCTCCAGTCTGCCAGTCCCCTGCACTGTCACCTGTACATTGCAAGGGGTTCTCCCCTTCCAGGTGCAGGAATTTACATTTGTCATTGTTGAATTTCATAAGGTCCCTGTTGGCCCATTCCTCTCGCCCATCTAGGTCCTTCTGAGTGGCAGCTCTGCCCTTGAGTATGTTAACCAATTCTCCTAGTTTGCTGTCACCTGCACACTTAATGAGAGTACACTTTGACAGCTCCCTCCAGGTCACTGATAGAGATTTTAAACAGGATCGGTCAAAGGATAGACCCATGTGGTGCTCCAGTTGTTACCAGCCACCAGGTATAGTATGTCTGATTAACCACAACCCTGTGAGCCTGACCATCCAACCATTTTTTTACTTACCTAGTTGTCCATCCCTCCAGCCCATAACATCCAAACTTGGATACAAGAACACAATGTCAAAAGCCTTGCTGAAGCCAAGGTAAACAACACACTGCTCTCCTGTTGCCTATAAATCCAGTCATTTTATCACTGAAGGCAATCAGGCTGGTCAGGCATGATTTACCACACATAAATCCATGCTTGCCTTCTCCTTCACATGATGAGAAATATTTTCTAAGAGGATTCACTCCATGATTGACTCCAAAGTGACACAAAGGCCTGGGAGAATTTGCTGATGAAGCCTGAGGCAAAGAAGCCATTAGATACTTCAGCCTTACCTGTGTCCATCGCCACTAAATGACCGGCTCCATTTAGCAATGATCCAACATTTTTCCCTATTTGTATTTTCACTATTAATGTCACAGGGGAAGCTCTTCTCATTGCTCTTGACAGACGCTGCAAGTCTCAGCTCCAGTTGAACTTTGTCTTTCCTAATACCATCCATCCATGCCCAGGCAATGTTTCTAAAGTCCTCCTTTGCAGTCTGTCCCTGCCTCCTCCTCCCGTGTACTGCCTTTTCAAATCCCATTACTAGCAGGGAAATTTGACCATGGGAGGAAGCAAGCTAGCAGGGAGTGCTGGGTCTCCCTGGAATCCAGTCTTCCACTTAATTTTTTTTTTTTTTTTAACACCATGGAGAAATCCTGAAAGCTGATAACAGACTGCTCCTGGAGCCTTTGCGCCCTCACTGCCACTGCCACCTTCCATACATTTCAGCCATATGAACAATTTTGCACAAAGCTGCATGGTTATTTATTTTGGTACTACTGGATCTGAAGCAATTGCTTTGTAGAGTTTACCATTTAAATTAAAACTTGGCATAAGCTCTCTACTAAGGAAGACAGCAATCAGTCTAGTGATGACAATCATGACAAACATTCAGCAAGTCTCTGGGTTTCTTTTTTGTATTTATATTGCCATTTCATTTACGTTTCTTAATGCTCTCCAGGGCAAGGATCAGGTTTTTACTGTGCTTGCACAACTATATGCCTTGACTGGTTATGAACCAGGATGAAAGTCACAACAGATGGTGCACATACATGGTAATACAAACACTAAATGATAATAGATCTTTTCCTTTTCCTGAGTATCTTTTAGTTGTTCAATCTACGTCCTTGCAAATAACCTCCCCAATGGAAGGCAATATGGGTTCAGTGGTAAAGGTTGACTAAAATAATCAAGTAACAAAGTGAAGCACAACAGAAAAGAATAAAGCTGTAGGCAATAAGGGCTCAAACACAGTGGGTTTCATCAGAAGGGTAGCAAAGAGAAGAAAAGTAAAGGATTGCAAAGGAATATCAAATCGCACTATTAAACGGTAGATGATCCCAGGAACGAGTTTACAGAAAGCAGACTTCTGGTACAAAAGGAAAATGGAGAATACAAGTAAATATTTAAGGTCCACACAGAAACTCAGACTGAGATTTTTAGGCAGATGATTTTAGACATTTCATGTTAAATAAAAGGACCCAGAATTCTCTATTCCACCAGAAAGATACTGCAGTTGTCAAGAAGAAGGTGACAAGATTACCAGCTCAAACTATTGACAAAAACTTCAGCAAGCAAGGGAAGTAGAAGACTATGGAGTCAAGATACTCTATGCTTTAGGAGTATGTTCAAATGGGTGGCTCAAGGCTCCACAAAGCAGCATCAAGACAAGAGATGAAAGTCAAACTGAGTAATGTGTAAGGAGGGGCTGAGTAACTAACCTTTTACCCACAGAAAACCTCCTGCTTAATTACTTGCAGTTATTAATCTCATATTCTTAGTTTCTTGAGGGTCAGTACACACTCCCAGGCCCCTACATTATCTTAACAGGAGCATCACAACAGAGGCTTTATTTTTGCATCATTAAATGATACTTCTGCCACGGGCAGAAAGGAAGCTGAAACGGAGGGGGAGCACAACCCGTTCCCCACTCCACTCCATGGGCACCGCTCACGTCCCGCG